TAACAATCTCCAACCGTAAAGAAGAAAATCGATAAATTCGAAACCACCAAGCAATTTTCGGGGCCAGATAACTGGTCAACTCAAACAGCGCGCGTTTCGCCACAGAGTAATATACGGTTTTTCAGTGGAAATTCCTACGTTATACTTTAGACATGGTGTCAGGTTGGCTCTAATGGTATATACGGTTCCTCTCAACCGTCTTATCTAAACGTTTAATGGAACTTCTCGCATCTACCACAGAACTATTCCTGCAATTCCCTAGACAGAGACCGTCCACTGTCGACAATATATCGTCATTCCAATAGACCAACATTACTCACTCTTACAGCACTCGATTTCTATCAGTAACGTTTAGTGCGGTATACTCCTAGCTTGATGGAATGCAAATGACATTCTACGCTCCAAAAGTGTAGAATACAGTTGCGGAGCTCTTACGTGAAAAATCTATTAAATACAATGTTCTACCTCAGGTGGTTTGTGAGGTACTGTAAGCATGGCCATAGCACGACAAACAGAGGAACTGCAAAACGGACGCCAGTCACCGTTGCTTAAATTTGCAGGCGACCGAGGTAGATATACAAACATTTGCACACCACCAGTGAAGTGTCCAAAAATTACCGAGATTAAGTTGCTGGGATTTATTTACTGTAGACGTCGAGACCTGGAAGATGAGTAGCGTTAGTGATATGGTAACATTTTAGCGAAAGGCTGTGATTGAGAGATTGAGGGAATACCACACAATGGGACGGTGGAAACTGCATTTTAAGCGCATGTTCAAAATACGACTCGACAATTTCGAACCAGGGGTGACGACAATTGTGAAGATGGCAGTGTGCTACCTTGTTGGTGAATCAACCGGTGATGATCAAGTTGCCGGTGATCCGTTACCCGAGATTAGCAGTTGACCCACGACGGGATGACAAGGGTCACTTGGGCACGGTCGAGAGGAAAGTGGCCCACCATTTTGAATGCCTAGATTATGTTGAAGGCAGTTGGTGCCGTTTGTCCTAGAGGCTGAGGACAGCCTGGGTTGGGGCTGGCAGACTTTTAGTATTTCATGAGACCGGGGGGTGATTATGGTTAGAATATAGATTTATGGAGGGAACAAGCTAACGCTGCACCAGTATTGATAGTAACCCAGAGCATGGACATAGATCCAGTGATTTGTGGCGTTCGTAGTTGAAAAGGTGACACGTCCAGTCGGGGAGCAGCATAGGTACAGTGAATTACAAGCTTACCTTTAGACTGAGTATGGCATTCATGGAGGACCCAGTATGGCATTAGGTCTTGGTACTTCAATGGTCCTAGACACTGATATCTTCGGCGAAGTAAGATCTTCTAATAGGTACGTGCGGGGTCTTTGGGGCTGGCCGGGGAACTTGGAAGAACAAGACCAATATAGGACACTGTTGGATCCACCGAAGATATAAAGTGGGAGGTAAACAGGTTTTTTGCCGTTCAGATGATACAGAGCAGCTTTGTCCAGATCACGAACTC